TTCTAACAGAGAGATTGCACCGGAGCCGGCGCCAGGACACATAAAAAGGGGGAAGTCATAATTCTTGAGGGAGGGCTTGCGCAGATGTATTGCTTTTATTTAATTTATTTCTTTTGTATTTAAAATATATTTATAAACTTGTTAACTATATCATGAACTATCTGGGGCGGCAGTGGCTCAGTGGTTCATGTGGGTTGTCCACAAACCGAAGGGTTGGTGGTTCAATCCTCGGTTCCACCTGACCAAGTGTCGAGGTGTCCATGAGCAAGACACCTAACCCCAGCTGCTCCCGACGAGCTGGCTGGCGCCTTGCATGGCTGACACCGCCGTCGGTGTATGAATGTGTGTGTGAATGGGTGAATGTGAGGCAATATGTAAAGCGCTTTGGTGGCCATTAGGTCTATGAAAGCGCTATATAAATGCAGTCCATTTACCATTTACCATTTATCTGATATATTCATATTGTTGAATAGGTAAAATTGAATGTGTTTCTTTGCTTAAAAACCTTTATAATAATCATGTTAGCTGATATATAATGTGTGATGGGTGCCGCCATGTTAGTTTGTGCTGTCATTCAGAGAATCGTATCAGTCGGATTTACATAATGTATCCACTTCTCCTGAAATACATAAAAGTTGCCGGCAAACTAGGGGAAGAATAAAGTAAACTTTATAGTTTGCAAAACAATGTGTATCTGATATGAATGAAACATTTTATCAAATTATATTTAAATGGACTGCGGCTTTCATTGACATCAGTGTGTTTTTTTTTTTTTTTTGCTAGTACTTATGAGTATTTAAATGTCTGAAACTAAAAATAAGCATAATATATTTGAAAAGACTGAAAAGTTGTGATATGAAAAGCAGTGAGCTTGTAATAACACACGAAACACACTTGAATTTAGCAGTTGTTGACGTGACGCACTGAATATTCTAATCACACCGGTGTGATTGTACGCGTCAAAGGTTTTTGATGGCGGAGGGGGTACAAATAGCCACCTCCTGGCGTCGGACCTAGGTTGCTCACCTGTAAACTGTTGGTGTATTTGGTGGGGTGAATGGGGGGATGGGCCTGATCTGATTTGTTTCCATTTCGAGGTGTGGGCCCACCGCTTTCCAAAATGCGCTGAGCAAAATTTCCCCATTCATTATCTTGTGTCTGTTGCTCAACCAGCAGGGTAAGGTTCAGGTTCTGAGGAAACATGTTGGTCTCAGTGCGAGGATAACTGATAAACCTGGGAGGAAACAGACAGGCTGATTTGTGAAGGGGCACGACAAACATGCTATAGACCCGTGTTTCTCAAACCCAGTCCTCGGGACACACCTACCAGAATGTTTTAGATGTCTCACTTATTAAAACACCTGATTCAACTCATCAGCGTTTTAGTGTGTTGTTGAATAGGGAGACATTGAAACATTCTGGGAAGTGGAAAACCACTGCTGGAGACCACAGACATATGGATGGATGGATGAAATAACCAATAACATACCCTTGAGTGTACAGCTTTTCTGCAATTTTCATGGTTTCTTTGGCACTTATCCTCAATTTTCTTGAAGACAGTTTTTCAAGTTCCTAACCAAAAAAATAAGTAGACATTATCATATATACTAGATTTTTAATCTCCATGATTTAGCTATTAATTGCACTTAACTTATGCAATAGCACTACTCATTTGTGGATCATTTTGGCCACAAACAAAAACTTATACAAATACAAAAAAACTTTAGTAGCTGATGACAATTATGTACATTGTGGTATAAGTCAAATTTGTTAATATTAATCAACTTGTAGCTGTAGCTGTATAACAAAAAGTACACAATCGTTCCAAAGAATAGGGTTGGTAAGATTATTTAAAAGGAAATAAATACTTAGATGCATAAAGGAAGCATTAAATTGATAAAAAAGTGACAGTAACAATTATAATGTTACAAAAAAAAATGCTGTTCTTTTGATACTTTCTATTTATTAAAGTATCCTGAAAAATGCATCATGTTTTCCACAACAATAACCAAATTGATTAAAATAATAAATGTTTCTTGAGCAGCATATCAGCATGACTTCTGAAAGATCATGTGACACCAAAGACTGGAGTAATAATGCTGAAAACTCAGCTTTGACATCACAGGAATAAATTACATTTTAATATAGATTAAAATTTTAAAAATTTTGATTTACAATATTTGTTTTTACTGTATTTCGGTTATCGTTAAACTTTTGAACGATCATGTGTGTGTCAACATCCTTTTCAGAATTTCCAGAAAAAATCTTTCAAGAGACATGTTCTGAACTACTCACCACAGTGTCAAGGGGTAAAGGTCGCCATTTGCTTTTTGGTTTGCTTGTTACAGATATCACTTTCGCCATGGGATCCTACAGAAAAGATTAAAGCCAAGCAGAGGAAACTTATGATGATAGAATAATGACCAACACATCTTACATATGTGTAATGCATTATTTCAATGAAGAAAAAATTTAAAAGCTATTTTGTTGTTATGAATTTAAAAATCCTTTTTATGAAAATTAAATAGAAGCACAGACCTCCATGCACATCTGATACAGCACAAGGCACGCTGTGTGATTGAAAAGACGATGTCTTTTCCAGCTGAATTCGACTGATTCCTCTTCGTTAGGCTCATGGACAACTAACAGACAATAAAGTGTATTTGAGAAAGCACTTGACGCATTTTGTTCATCAATATTAAATGTGAACTGTGTAAATTAAAACATCAGAGTACCTTTGATTTTGAAGAAAGTTTCAGGGACGAAGGCTTGAATTGCTTTAAAACGCTCTACGACAAAGCCAAGGGTTGGGAACTGACAGCTGCCATAACTGATGAGCTGATCGGAGAGAGATTCTGGGAATATCTTCTGCAAGCGTAATGTCTGGAACCTGGTGAACGATGCCCCTGAAGAAACATAATGCACATTAGATAAACACATTAGATTTCATCTTAAAGAAAGTAGTTTGTGATGATGTTCTCTGATATTTTAAAATGCCTACCGATGCGGAGATCAAGCTCCTGTCTCACGTCCACAGCATCACTGATGTTGATATTCGGCTCAGTGAGGGTCTCGCAGGCTCTTCTTATGGAGTTTGGGGTGATCTCAGAGAACCGTGCACGGAAGACCTGAATGTTTGGCTTCACTAAATTGAAAGATATCACAAGAGGTTAAAGTCACAGTGAAATCAAAATAGTTTTTCTTACTTTTAATGGAATATATAGCAGTATTTATTATGATTTATCCATGATTCAGTGTACAATATCATTTATTTATTTATTTTTTCTTCCTGTGCCCTTGTAATCTTTAATCAAATCATACATCTCTTCACAGATGATGATGTGTTTACTGGTGTGAGGGCGGGACAACCTGTCACTCACATGACATGACAGCAATAGCAAACCACAACCATGCGACGAGTCCCGTCCTACATTTTTTTCTTATTTGGATGTACGTCACAATAAGGAAGAAAAGACTATCACAACTTCTGTTTTATGCCAACTTTAAAAAATTGAGAGAAATATACAGCACCAGTGCATGATACACTAAACTTACCTGCTTTGCAGACATTGATGATCTCAAAGCCGATATTCTCTCCTTCCCGGTCACAATCAGTCCAAATGACCAGAGCTTGACACTGTCTTACCTCTTTCTCCAAAGTCCTCTGGATAATGGAAATACATTGTTTTGCGACATAAAATACAAGCTCATATTCTAAATGGAAGGAATGGAAATTAATACCTTGATTGGTATAAAGTTTTCAGGGCAGTACTTTTCCACCTCAGCATCAAACAACAGGACTGGATTGCAACTATGCCTGTGAAACGCATCACATAATAAAGTTGGAATAAACTATAGTTATTAGGTTAGTTATTATATCAAAGCTATATATATATATATATATTACCATTTCTGAAAAGGAGCTTTGAATTCGAGAGCCAAGAGATGCCCTGATACTGAGGTCATGTTTACAGTTACATTCTGTGAAGAAATAAACACCATGATCAGACTATATGTTATACAATATATTTTTCTGTGATAAACCAAAGAAAGTACTTACTTGGCCAAACAGGTTGTATTCATACTCATATATTTTGTTGTAGACAGAGCAGCCTTCTCTCTGTAAAGAAAACCAGGTTCATTAACAATGACGACCATCCTAACAAATAAAAGCAACAACTCTTCTGATAATAACAATCAGATTTTACATTACAGATCAAGATAACTTGTACAACAGTCGGCACTCACTCTTCTCGATCTCCCATTTGACATAATTTCTGCTATTCCCTTAGCAGCGTCGTTTTTCTCGGCAACACACAGCACTTTCTTAATCTGCGTGCGTCTTATCATGTTTACAGATATTTGCCTATAAAGTTGACTGTGAATTGTCACTCTTACAGACCTATGCAAAACGTTCATTACTGTGATCTAGCAGCGCATGATCACACACTCGACATTACAGCACATCAACAGCAGCTTGCTTGCTAACTAACTAGCATAGTAAAACACTGATACTTATAAAATAACGGAGATAAAATAAATCAGTGTAAACTCAAAGTTTTGAAAATACATCTGTAAAAGTATACGTTAATGCTGTGAACACAGCAGATGAATCAACTCTAAAAACTTCCAATTCCGGCGCCTGACGAGAATTGTCGTAAAAATACCGTAAACCAATGTGTTAGAATGCCGTATGGTTGTTTTGTGTATTTCCCCAACGAAATGTCGTTATCTAAATAACTAAATAAATAAGTGAAATTAAATAATTTCCAGAGACATAAGAACGAGTCTTGTCATACGACACGAATAATCTAATTTCTCCCCGAACAACCAAAAAACGCGTCATAACAAATGCCCTGTCTGTGTGTCAAAATCCTAGTTAGTACCAAAGCAGCAACTATAGTCGCTGGGAACCTCCAAAATGCTGTCTAGCTAGGCAGCTCACTAGGTTTTGAAACACATCCACTTCCTCACCATGATAGTCACGTGGGAAGGTTACGATCGTTTAAATATGGCTGCCTTCAGAGGATGTTAGTTTATTGAGCAGCTGGGTTGCTCTGTAACAGTGGCGTTTTCGCTTCGCTATACTATATAGATGGCCGATTATAAATAGGTTTTATATAAGCGGCGACCGTTGATGACAGATGTTTCAGATTTATGGCAGGTGACGTCAAAGGTCTGTCAGGCTGGATAGCATCGTCTTCAAGCTCATGCATAGCAGATCGTGATCTGGCTCAGTGGACTAACCAGCCCCGCTGCAGAGAGGGAGAGAGTCCTCAGTGCACAGCATATTTATGATTTGTATTTTCAAAACGATGTCTTTGTTCAATATTATGTCTTCATTGATGGAGATACTGAACATTGAAGGATATTTCCGCTGATGTGTCTTTATATACTCAGAGAACATGATTGGCTCACCAGATGTGGTGGCTTTTACCAAAGAAGATGACTTTGGGGAGTCGTTCTCGGATCCATTGTCACTTCCAGAGGAGTTTTCTGTGCCTTTGTTTACTCATACTGCCAATGCAAATCCATGGACGAAGACATCCTATGCGAAATTCTCAAAAGATTTCATACTCATCTCTGAATTTTCAGAGCAGGTGGGTCCACAGCCTTTACTCACCATTCCCAATGACCCCAAAGTGTGTGGGACATTTGACCTTAACTACTTCTCACTACGCATTATGTCTGTGGACTACCAGGCATCTTTTGCCGGACATCCTCCAGGCAGCAACTACCCAAAGCTAAATTTTGTGGAGGACTCAAAAGTTGTCCTAGGTGATTCCAAGGAAGGGGCTTTTGCCTATGTCCATCATCTGACGCTGTATGACTTGGAGGCTCGTGGCTTCGTACGGCCCTTTTGCATGGCCTACATTTCCGCAGACGAAAGGAAGATCATGCAGCAGTTCCAAGAGCTATCATCTGAGTTTTCCAAGGCTTCAGAAATAGTCAAATCAGGAAACAGGAAAGCTTTTGCAAATGAAGTGGAAAAGAAACTGAAAGACTTGGAGTACACCAGATCGGTGCTGCACAAAGAGGCAGAGCTGCAGAAAACCAACAATGGCTGTTATTCCACACAAGCTATTGAGAAGGCGAATGAATTAGCAAATATGGAGAAGTCTATCTATGAACACAAAGATCTACTGAGGCAAATCACATCTTATCCTTCCAGGAAAAAGAGAGATATGGATTTTGTAGAATGCGAGACAGAAAAACAAGCTGACACAAGTGTAACAGATGATACTCTTAATAGTAATCATTCTGAAGTTGCTGTGAAGACTGTAGAATCTGAAAGCGATGGCAGAAAGTCATCTTACACGCCTCAGCTCATCAAGGCCAAATCTGCGAAGTGCTTTGATAAACGCTTGAAAACATTGGAAGAGCTCTGCGATTCCAGCTTTTATCACCAAACTCTAGACCAACTAAATGTAATCGAGAAGTCGTTCCGAGGGGATCTGTGCTCTATTTACACCAGCCAGATCGACAGGGCTCTTCTGAGCAAACAGAGAGTTACTAGTTTTCTCTTTGAAGCTGAATGTGACTGGGAGGACGAAGGAACCTCAAAAAAATTAAATTTCACTTCCAACATCCCAACAGTCCCCATTCTGCACTTATCTGGTGAGCCGCTGAGTCTAGAATCCTACACCACCTGCATAGATGTAGATCACATTAAGCCAGGTGTGGAGTCTATGGAAGGGCCTCCTGAATCCAGTACGTCTGACATCACACAGGAAACCTCTGAAGCCGCCGACACTGAGACCAAAGGGAGTTTCAGCAGTGACAAGAGCATTGAGGCTCTTGGAGGTGTTAGTCCTTCCAGTCTACAGACAAATTACTTTGATGGCCTTGAAAGAAATTGCAAAGTATCCATTGCATCCTCATTTGAAAATGCGTCCCATTCGGTTGCTGTCCCGCGTAGGTCATCCGACGGGAATCTAGTCCCGATGGATGCTTCCTGCTGTATTGGACAGGAGGACCATTTTGTTTTGGAGGAACCTTTACCTGAGCTCGCTCAGGAGTGTTGTGGCGACACTGTGGTGAACCAAGAACCCCTGTCTCTTTTTCAGGGAGATACTGCCTTACAGCTGAACTACATTCTGGAGGAGTCAGCCCTCGCAGAGAGCCCCAACGCGGGACTGACTTTTTCCGAACTAAACACTTGCGTTCTGTCAGAGGATGTGGCAAAAATTTATATCGAAGATGCGTCTGATAGTACGAGCTACATGAGCGCCTCCACCAGTTCTGATCGAGCAGTGTCTCCATTCACTTACGGCAGTGCGTTGACACTAAAGCAGAAGAAGAAAGCTGGTCACAGCGCGCTTCGATTCATCAGACAATATCCATTTGCTCAGCAAGCCATTTTCTGCCTTCTGAGTGGCCGAACGCTTGTTATTTTGGGGGTGGATGAGGGCATGGTGAGGAAGCTGGTCAATGCTTTGTTTGTTTTCGTGCCCAATCTCGGCAAGTACGGTGAAACCGTCCAACCGTGGCTTTCGACGCCATTTCAGCTTACCGACTTGCAGAGATGGAAACTTATTGGATTGCAAAGGTATGTTGAGAAAGTTTGACCCGTAGTCAATCAATAACTCCGTATCATAGTTCAAAACAGTGGTCAAAATATATATTTTTTTGTTTGTAATGCTTTAAAGTGCAGTGTTTTGACGTTTTTCCTTACTTTTTTTCCAGAGCTGCCTCCCCAGCTGGATCCAGCATCCTCCACTCTTTGAATCGATACAGCCGTTACATAAGCATTTTGGATTGTGACAACAAGACCCTCCGGTGTCCACCATACAGAGGAACACTAATTAGCCATTTGGCGGACCACAGGACTCAGATCAAGCGTGGCAGCACCTACTTCCTCCATGTTCAGGGTATGTTGACTCAGCTTACAGCCAAGGCCTTCCTTTACACATTCTGCCATCACATTCATCTTCCCATGGACATCAACGACCAGGGCTCGGTAAAGTCACGCAGGACTAATTTCTTGTTGCAGCTCGGCTACACCGTTGAGGAGAGTAAAATCATACAGTACCTGAGTGAGCTCATCAAGCAACATTATGTTCAGGGGTCCTCGAAGTGGGTCAAGCAGTCTTTTTGTTTTAATTACACCACCAGCTATTTGTACAAAATCTGAATGCGTCTATAATCTGTTCACCATTAAACCCGGATAAGATCAGGAGACCAAATGTATTTGAATGTAATCACTTTTTGTGTCTGTGTGAATTTTCTTGTGGCATTCCAGGAAGCAGTCCAGTGTTACAGAATGTGGTCTATTTGTTTAGTGTAAAGTTTGCATTTTTAAATCTATTGCCAAACCGTTTTCCCTAAAATTGAGAAATTAGGTTCCTCATGTGGTCTGAAGACCTTTACAGAAGCTTTGTAATAAAATCAAGATTCAGCAAGATTTCAACGTCGTCCAAGCAAAAGTAGACATGTTTTGAAAGAGGCCGAATGATACAGCTGTGTAGTTACAGGCTTGTTTTCATTAAGGAACAACAGCAGGAGAGTCTCTAATCACAATTTAATCAATCTGGTCCTGGTAGCCTGTTTAATCATTAATGCTATTTGCCTTCATACGTAATGAGACTGTTGCAAGCATGAACATCGCAAGCATAATTTTAATGGAACTAACCTAAGTGGCATTGGAAGAGATTTTTACAATACTTGTTCTTTGTATGCTGCAGCTGTTTATCATTGACCAACAGCCTCTATAAAATGCACTAGAATTGCATTATATGCATTTAAATGAGAAAAATTTGATGCCAATTCATGGATTGGTCTTTTATTAGCTTTTTGATTCTTGCATTCTGAGTGTGAGACATTTAATGTGCTAATTAATAATAAAAGATGTGCAAATTTGCTCTGTTTTGATCTAGTGGATATAAAATCTAAGGCGAGTTTTTTTTTTTTTTAATACAAAGAAGATCAAAGGTTACAGACATTGTTAAACAAACAAAAATTGAGCCAACTGCCCTTTGCGTTTTAACATAATTGATTGATAAGGTGAATGAATGTACTGCATGTCACTTGTGGAGAACTGTTACACAATCTTTTGCATGTTTAAAGAACACAAAAATGTAACAACGGCAAAATTTGGGGGTATTTATGAACATTTCCATTGTATCTCACGTGTTACTCTTATAAATATAAATATAAATTGTTGTCTAAGGTGTGTGCAAGCAACGTCAGCATGAGTAACTGTGAGGATGAAGTGACTCTTCATTCTAATGTCTGTTGTAGTGTTGTGAAATGAACGATAATGGTGGTTGTTGCCAATACGTTGTCTGTAACTGTTATTCCCACTACTGCATGAATGCAGTTGTAGTCCAGAAATACAGACCTTAACTGCCACCGCTGTTTCATCACAAGTGTGTCTTAACATTAAGTTCTTTTGGCTACCCAGTAATTATTGGCCTTTGTAACGATTTTCAGCATTTAATTGCAGTCTGTTGAATGTAAATTGAGAACAAGCCATACCATTATACGCACATTATCTTCTAAGAAGGTTATTTCTTTTTGCTGATTTTGAACACATCTTGTTCGTTGTGACAGTCTGAATCATGCCGTTTTGTTGCTACTTTTTACAAATCTGTTTTAAGACTGTAAGACAGTATTGTGAGCTTGTCTGGGGTAAGGTGTAATCTTCATGCTAAAATATTTATGGACGTTAAAGTCAAGTAAATTGAGGGTCCTCTGTGTGCTTTAAGTTGCTGCCCACTGTGAAATTAATTACTCTGCCTTCAATCTCATTAAATTATTTCTGATTTAGCCATGTGCATCACATCTTTATCAAATGGTGTTATACCTATCTTGTAACGGTTTGTGTATTCAGCAAAACTATTCTTTTGTTTATTATGTAATTAAAGGCACATGATTTGTCTCATTCTGAATTTGTAATTACTTACACATGTAAACGTATTAGGGTAAATAGTAACAGTAGAAAGTACATTTCATACTTAATTAACAAGACGGAGGTCCAGTCACATGTTCGCAGGCTTTACAATAGGCTTTATTTGTATTGCATGTACAAATGTATTGTGCCAGTTGAATATTTTTTCTCTGTTGATCGGTTTTACTGAAAACTTTTCATAGATTCACGCAGGTTAATTCACAGAAAAGAAGAGAAAATGCAAGCAAAAGTACATACACCATGTTATTCAAGCCTTTGCCCATCAAATCAAAAGAAATCTTTATTTCGGGAAGACCAAAATGTCAGAAAGACAGTAATTATAACTCCGGAAACCCAGGCATTGGGAATTTTCCAGAAAAGTCTTCGACTTCCTTTCGGATTTCATTTATTTTCAGTTGGTACTTCTCATTTTGTGCCAGTTCCTCTTTAAACTCCTTCAGAGTTGCTTTAGGATTCATGTTTCTTTGGATCTCCAATGTCAACTCAATGCCTAAGAGCAGATACACAATCAATGTCTGATGTAGGTTAAAAATTTGTACCATATCCTATAATATTATATTATTGCTTGAAACAAAACTCACCCTGGTGAATAAACTCAGCCACTTTACGGAAATCGTCCTCCAATAATCCACGAGATGTGAGAGCGGGAGCTCCTAAACGAAGGCCGCTTGGGAGCAAGGCACTTTTATCACCTTCAAAATGGAGTTTGGGAGAGGAAAAACTGATTAGATTGTTGTAGTAAAACTAGACAAAAATATCACAATCACTGTAAAAGAAGTATTAAAAGGATTAGTAACACTTTACAATAAGGTTCATAAGTCAACATTAGTTAATGTGTATTAACTAACATGAACCAACTATGAGGAATGCATTTGTTAAAATATTTATTAATCCATTATGTTAGTTTATAAAAGTACAGCTGTTCATTGTTTGCATTAACTAATGTTAGCAAATACAACCTTTGATTTTAATAATGTACTAGTAAATGTTGAAATTCTTTAGCAGTATTGTTCTTAGTTCACGTTAAAGGGCACTTATTATGGAAAATTCACTTTTGCATGGTGTTTGAACATAAATGTCAATCTCAATAAATCATATGCACTGTCTGAGAACGATCTGTTCTAAGATTCAGCTCTTTGTGACGTAGAATTGAGCAAGAGGTTTGATTGACAGTGTGGTTGTGGCCTAGACCCCGCTCTCGGTGATATGTACACCATCCTCCATTGTTTCAACGACAGCCGGTAATGTCTCTTGGAAACATAAGTGTTCTGTTGTGGGATGGGATGTAATAATGATATACATAGTAGTTTTCATTTATTTCCAACATCAGAGCCACTGAAAACACAGTGGATGTATTGTATTTTGGAAGTTTAAGTGGCGCCTTTCCTTCGTAAATAAGTTTATGTTTGAGCGAATCATTTTCCGACGTACTGTTTTGTGAACGAGGGTCAATTCAAAGCAGGTCTTGCTTCAAAGTTAATCCTCAAGTGTGGATCGTCTTCTACTGTTTACGATCCAACGACACCTCCAGTAACAGTAAGTGTATTTTATGATTTTTGAGCAAATAGTCATTTCAGTCGATTTCAGCCAATTCAACAACAAATGTGTCTAAAGTTGTTGTCGCCGTAGGATGTCTGTATATAATTTAAACCTTGTTTGTATAGTGTGTAACCACACATTTATAAATATATATATTTAAAGATATTGTATTAAAAACTGCATATGTTCTTGTTCTGTAAGTTAGACATCTTCTCCCATTTGCCACAGAAGCACCTGTATGACAAGTAAACATGACGCAACAGGTCCCTGCATAAATGTAATTTCGTTTGTATGTAGCAAACTTTATCACAGAATGTGTATGTAGTTTCAAAAAATTGCGCCAGCGCTAGTGTTTGTGAGTGTCTGTGTGTGTGTTGCACATCCATAATTGCACAGGGTACGCGATTACAACTCTATAAGTACATAAACGTATCAAAAAACCATACCGAGACATACTGGTCCATTCTCATTTGTGTTTATTCTGCCGGAGTCTCTTCGTCATCTGGGTCTGATCAGAGACTATTTATATATTCTGATTCAAACATGTACGGCTGAATGACATTCAAAACAGCGCGTCTCTCACTCTCAGCCCTTCTGCTTACTGACTGCCATAGGTATCAAGTTACGCCCTCATCCAAAGGCAGGGCAAGCATATGCAGCTCATTTGCATTTAAGGTCGTATACATCAAAACAGCTCATTTTAAAACTGGCCCCAAAAATGACATTTTCAAATGGTTATAATAAATTAACTGTGGGGTATTTTGAGCTGAAATTTCACAAATACATTCTGGGGACACCCGAGACCAATATTACATCTTGTAAAACGGGGCATAATAGGTGCTCTTTAACTAAGGTAGTAAACTAATGTTAACTAATAAACCTTTTTGCAACGTGTTACCAAAGTATTATAAATGGAGCATGTTTAAGGCACCTGGGCAGGTGTGCTTGTTGCAAGAAATGGCACAAGCCTCCAGCACTTCCACGGCTCTTCCTCCATCAGTTCCATTTGAACGTAAATCAACCAAGATGAGATGATTATCTGAGCCGCCTAAATTTAAAATGAAAAATAAAGGGAACACAGTTGCTAATTGATGTTCAATCAGCCAATGGTTTCATTTAGCTATAATTTATATCTAAATTCTTAAGAAACTTACCTGTAACAACTTTGTAGCTCTTATCCAATAGGGTGGCTGTTAAAGCCCTACAATTTGCCAGAACTTGCAATTGATAGTTCTTGAACTCTGGAGTCAGAGCCTGCTTCAAAGCAACAGCAACCCCTGCACAATACATAAAGCAATAACAAATAACACAAATCTCAAATCTGGGCACTTATTCATAAAGATTCAAAGAATCCTCTCAGAAACTCTTAATTTAGCTTAGGTTAAGAGCGTTTCGGGGACTTATCTGAGAGCAATTCTGAGTATGGAAAAGACAAAAACTTTCATCTTTGTGAGGAGGCAGGGCTGACCTCGTTGCTATGTATGACACAATCTTTTGAAGACTGTGATTGGTTGTCCAAGAATTTATTTTTTATTTACCATGCTGTTCATTTGATTGGCTTAGAATGATACAAATTGTTCCACTCTTTGCAATTACACTGATTGCTGGCATGTCTATTTAAGTGGTGGTTTTAATGTTGGTTTTAAGGTAAATAACATGGAATCAAAACCAAGGACGAGAAACCTCGACTGGACAGAGAAACAGTGTTTACTGTTAGCCCAGTAAGTGGATTAACTATTTATTATTATTATTATTATTATTATTATTGTTGCTTTTACATGTTTGAAAAAAAAAAAGAATAAAAAAAAACACAAGGCCATCATTAAAGGAAAGTTCGGAACGGGTGTCGCAGCACATGGCAAAAAGCAGTTGTGGGAGCTTATAGCGCAAATTATTAATTGCTCATTCCCCAGCTTGTGCGCACCAGGGAAGCCTGCCTTATTCATAAATGCCTATTTGAGCCTGCAAGGCATTCCTGCACTGTGTCTGAGATGTTAGTGTGTCTCTAATAAGATCTGTCGCAAACAAAAGATGATCCCTGCAAATCAAATCAACAGCGTCTTATTAACTCAGTCATCCATTGTCTGCAAAACATTTCTTCTTCATCTCTGCTAAATAAAGTCCTCGTCCGTGCCCCTAACAATTTTGACCTTAAGACCTCTTTACTAGGATTTTTTCTTTAATTTTAAGAGTAAACGACCACAATTCTAAGAATTTTCTTAGAATTTTGTCACTAGGAGCTACTCTTTAAGCTTTTTTTATAAATACGGGCCCAGATTAAGAATGCTAAGTTTTAGAAATATTATTAATCAAAAATGATAAAATGTAATTATCAGGATCAATAAACAATTTAATTTATAATTAATAAATATTTACTGTTTAATTTGATCAAAGCACGTTTGGTAGGAAAAAAAACACAAATCAGATTAAGGATGCCAGGAATATTAAAGTTGTCATGAAATCAAAATTGACCTTACAGGGGTCATTGAAGTCTATAGTTTAAGGGACTGTTTCTTTGTTTAAGCCAGTTAGATTAAAAGTGTCCTCTTCGTTAGAGAAAGAATGTATTATCTTGATGTTTTAAGAAGACTCTCCTGTTTATAGTTAAAGCCTGGCCAAATCTAACCTTGAAGAACCTGTGTGTCAGTGTGTGTGTGTTAGTCTTCTTGGTTACAGGTTAAGAAACAACTGCATTATTGGAGATTGACTGACTTGTTGTTCTGGACATGTTGTGTTGGCGCCCAGGTTATGACGTGCCAAAATTTAGGGTCAGAGTGTCAGCCGCCTAATCGATGGAGATATGCTTCAGTCTATCTGTTTATGTGTGGAAAATGTGTGTTTATCTATTTCTTAGCCAATCAGAAACTGCAACCTGAAGCAAGGACATAGCTTAACCCCAACGCCTGTGATGAGACGACTCAACGCCTGTGATGAGACGACTCAACGCCTGCGATATGTTATGGCGCCGTTTGATTCATAAAAAATATTTATATTTAATATTTATATTTAAACAATATGAATGTAAGCCAGAGGAGAACTGGCCCCCGACTGAGCCTGGGTTCTCCCAAGGTTTTTTCTCCATCCAATCTGATGGAGTTTGGTTCCTTGCCACTGTCGCCTTGCTTTTGGCTTGCTTTGAGCTTGCTCAGTTGGGGTTATTTATTTAGTGTTTAGCAATGTTGTTGATCTGTGTTGTGCTACTTACATGTTATCACTGTGAAGCTGCTTTGATACAATCTGTATTGTGAAAAGCGCTATATAAATAAATGTGACTTGACTTGACTTGACTTAAAACTTGGTTTAGGGTATAATTGCTGTGATCTCTGTAACTTTATGGGGCGGCCTACGAACTCCTTGTGAGTTTTGACTTCTGCCTGATGAAACTGCAAACTATCTTCAGTAAAACTTTCAGATTTTTGTAATTCTGACTCTTGTCTTATTGACTGCACTTCTGACTCCGGGTCTTAATGAATCATATCTGGTCCTTGGGTCTTTAACTGTAAATACGCCTATATATACCTGAATGCATACTGATGAAAAAAATAAAGAAAGAAAAACTGCCTTTAGGACCCATGGGACAGTTCATAAAGGCCATCTAGATGCTAACAGGCCACCTAGTGGCAAGAGTCATGAAATGTCATGTTAGATTTTCTTTTCCGCAGGAGGTCGGCAGAGACACACAATGTGATGTTTTAACAAGTTTTTGCATGTAATGGAGAGTTATTTTGAATTTAAGTGAAAGAATTTGAAGAATTTGCTTCTTTGTGTTAAAATTATTGATTAACTCTATTAATTTGGAGGTAAAAACAGTAAAAAAATAAAAATAATAAAAAACAAATCTTTTTAAAAAACTGCATTAAAAAAATTATAATAATGAAATGATATATGCTTTCTGAAAAAAACAGTATAATTTTAGAGCTTCGGGTCATTTTGATCCACGAGGGAAGGATTTGTTATAGGTAAGGAGAGGATGAGACTTGTGCGCTCTAGCATCAGATGACTGTATGTATAGTGTTCTCCACATCTGTATGGTTATTGAACTAAATTAAATTTAGGCAAGTTAATCATATGTCAATTAATAGATTACTGTAATCATAAACATCCCTAGTGCAAATGCAAACTTCTCTAACCTTTAAATAAAAGACATGGAGGGTCGTCAGCTCTTACCTGCGATGGCATGGTTGTGAGGGCCACCCTGCAGTCCAGGAAACACAGCCTGGTTAATCAGACTCTCCAGGTTATACAGGGTCTCCTTTCCTGTCTTTGCATCAACACTACGAACTCCTGAAATTCAAGAGTGTATCATGATCAATGTTGGGGTTGTCACAGTGTGGTGTAGGCTGAGGAATAGGGATGGGAGACGCAACACGGAAAGCTTTTCGAGATCCCGAAGCGCAGATATTTGAAACACCGATCCGAAGCATGATTCAAAACACCCATGTCACGTGACTACAGCTAAATGAAGCTCTTAAGTGTTTCACAAGTGTTTCGACCATGGTTTCAACAGGTGGCATGGTCCGCCGAATCAGCGTTTGATTGACAGGGTCGGGAACAGACCACTCAATCGCACATCTGTATAAAAGTGAAATCAATGCATCTTGACCTCATGGGTTTTTGTTAGAGGAGTTTGATTTTGAGATAGTGGATTTTTAGTGATATAGTGACATTTATAGTAGTGCGATGTGTTTAGTTATATTTAAGCTTAACCTACATTTAAATTTACACATGATAGGTTAGAGACAGAGTATACAGATGGTTGGATGGATGGATGGATGGATGGATGGATGGATGGATGAACTCACCCTTCCTAAAGAAAATGACTCCAGCCCGGCAGCCCCTCAGGGTCTTATGGGTCGTGGTGGTAACAACATCACTGTATTCAAACGGAGATGGAACGACTCCTGCCGCCACTAGACCACTGATGTGAGCCATGTCTGCCAGAAGATACGCTCCATTCTCATCTGCGATCTTCCTCAGCCGACTGTAGTCCAGGTTACGGGAATAGCAGCTGGTTCCTTAACAATGATACACGGAAATGTTAAAGGGATACTCCACTTTTTTTTTTTTTTGGAAATAGGCTCATTTTACAACTTCCCCAGAGTTAAACTGTTGAGTTTCACCGTTTTCAAATGCATTCAGACGATTTTCTGATATTTAGAAGAATATCAGTAACCAGACAGTTTCTGTTCCCATTGACTTCCATAGTAGGAAAAAATATACTATGGAAGTTAATGAGACCAGAAACTGTCTGGTTTCAGACTATATGGCTGTTTTGTGCAACTTATATTGCCAGTCGGCCCCGTCCATTCTGGCGGCCTGAAAGGCCAATTGTCTGTGAAATTCACAGACGTGAACCAATCAGGCTTCAGTATTCAGAGAAAAGTGAGAGACAGTGAGAGAGAGAAAATCTCTCATGAAATGCTCGTTCCCGTTATCTCAGGGGACCAAGTGACAGTAACAGGAGCGTTTTCAAGTAAGGTTAAAAAGACTATTTTTTGTCCAACATCTAAAATTATGAATACTTTACATCCTGTAGTTCAAAAATTCCTTAGATTTCCAAAGAAATAAATTATGCTGACCTGCAATGATTAGTCTTGGGTGGAAGAGGCGAGCATTTTCCTCAAGTCTGTTATAATCAATATATCCAGTTTCTGGATTTACCTGGTTGAAAAAGGTCTCAATAGTTAATGTTAGTTAATGCATTAACTAAAATTAGAAATACAGTAAGAGTAACTGTTAGTTAATAAAAATACAGCTGTTCATTGTTAGTTGTCTTCCATTAAACAATTTAACAGATACAACTTTTGATTTTAATAATGTCTTAGTAAATGTTGAACTTAACACTAAAGTGTTCACTACAGTGTTGATTATAATCTCAAGGTTACCTTATAGGGCATAGACTCAAAGTAAATAGATGTGGCCGAGATTTTCTTCTTGTCAGTCATGAGGCCATGGCTGAGATGGCCGCCATCAGAAGGATCAAGGCCCATGATCCGCCCATGAGGTTCCACTATGGCTGTGTATACAACAAAGTTCGCAGGTGACCCTGAGGAAAAAAAGAAACAATATTTTGAACAATGTGCGATTGAGTTAATGTTTCATTAAAAGTGCTGGGAAGGTTACTTTGGAAATTTAATATGTTACAGATTACAAGCTACCCTATTGAAAATGTAAAAAAGGAGTAGGGGTGTGTTTTCAACTATTGTAAACGTCTGCTCTGCTCGTCCAGCACGAACTGCAGAGTGCAGAGTCGCACACAGTGCAGCAGAAATCACACTTCATTGATCGTGTAATGAGAGTAAGGCGAGGTGAATGACAAAATCATGGCTGATGATTTGTTGCACAACAGAGCGTAAATTGTCGGATGACGGTCGTACTATACACAGAGTATGCACAATCACAAATTAAAAGTGAAATTAAAACTCCTTGATGCGCGCAAATTAGGCAACATTCAATAGCCCAATATCAAATTTATCCTAGGCTGGGCTGTGTAGTTGTAAACACCTCTTAGCTTTGGTGTGGTGGCCTCTGTTTGCACTTAGAATAATGAGAGAGTACTTTTATTATGCTTGGAGTTATTGTTTGCACTTAATATTTATTTTTGTTATTTATAGTTTTTATTTCTTTGTTAAATTTGTGGAAAAGATTTCAATTAGGAGGTCACACACAGCTTCAATCAGAAGTTCTGGACGTTCATGAACAGTAAGGTCTGAAGAGACTCATGTTTAATCATACAGGAGAGAAGCCAGTTTGTTTGTCTCCTTTAGTTGAGTTTGTGGCAAAACATTTTAGGTGTTTTCTTTCGATGTATATGATCATTCATACTCAGAAAGTAGAACTGAAATGACATTCATTACAAGATGATTATTAAGACAATTTTCCAGTCATGAATTTTGTCATTGAGGATTTCTTAAAATGTCTCTTCTCTTCTCATGTATCGTTACACCTCTAATAGTAAGTAATTACTTTATTAAAGTAATGTAACTTATTACATTTGATTTATTTTCTAAATTTCTAACGAATGTTTTCAACTGTTTTCAACTGTAAATTCAAACAAGAGAGCCTATCAAAAGCATCAGAATAGCATCACCTTACTAAACGGCCTTTAAATGGCTGGAGCCATTGTACACATAAATAAGAGGCAGAGAAACAAATTAATATCATTTACCATATTGTAACTTTTTGGTAACTCCCTTAATAATTGTCAACATTTTCATGAGTAACTGTTATTTTATTACAGTTCTTTTTAGTAACTGTGATGGATTACAATAATATTTATTTTGTAATTTAATTACATAAACCCGTTACATGTAACTAGATTCGGTAACACTTTACTTGAAGGGGTGTTCATAAGACTAACATGACATATGTTATTAATATGAAGGAAGTTTTATGTATGTTTGCGACAACTGTCATTCAGTGTCATTCGCTCAGTTATGACATTTTTAATGCAAATATGACATTGTTTGAGATGTCTCTTGACGAAAACCAATGATCATAACCTGTCAGTGTCTTTGTCATGACATTACTAAGACAACACAACCTGTCATAAACATGACATAGCAGATTAATTATCAAACTTAAGAAACCACCTACTGTAGATTTATTGGTTAACATTACATTAAACTGTCAGGTGGTTGGTTTTGACATTGGCTGTCATGAAGCCATTATAACTCTTTAATGACAAATTCAATAAGTACCACTGTAGTTGAGGTCACGAAAAATATTCCAGACACAGTTATAACGGCCTCATGACAGCCAATGTCAAACTCAACCACATGACAGTTTAACTTAATTTTATGTCAAGTTGACAGGTTATGAAGTTATGGTTTATGTCAAGGTGTCATAACAAAGACATCTTAAACAATGTCATATTTGCATTCAGAATGTCATTATTGAGTGAAAGTCACTTAAACATGCATAAACCCTATTTCATATTCAAGACATATGTCATGGTTGTGAAGGTGTCATGTTAGTCTTATGCACACCCCTTCAAGTAAAGTGTTACCCTAGATTCTCCCCAACACTGTTCATATGTGACATCATCTCTTCCCGCAGCAACAGTCCAGTGAGAGAAACAAGCCTACCAGAGTACGGTTGAACATTCACTCCCCATTTATCCGGATCGAGGCCGTAGACCTTCAGAGCTCTTGCCTGACACAAACTCTCCAATTCATCAACATGCTCTGTGCCTTCATAGTATCTTATAACATTAAACAACATTTTAGCCCATTTTCAATATGTAAGCGCAAAGGGTAAGTGCAAAGTGTAAATTACATAATGTTAATCTTATTGTCATCACAACAACAGAAAAATTGTAATTAAACAGTACATGAAATGTCATTGCACAATAGTCACCTCCGACCAGGATACTTAGAGTACTTGTTGTTCATGCAGGAACTAAGAGCCTCCAGAACAGCTCGACTAATGAAGTTCTCAGACGCAATGAGCTCTAATCCATACGTCTGCCACCGCTTCTCCTTCTTTATTATGTGAAATACCTAGAGCAAACAGAAATTTCAAGAGTTTACACTTACAAAAAATAAGAAGGAAATAAACATATGCGTATTTGGAGTGCTGTCCGAGGAGAGGGTTCTGATCTTGGACTTTGGACCGAACCCAGAGTAAGTGAGTAAGTAACCAGGCAAGTGTGAAGAGATGGGGTGGTAGTGGGATGCGAAAACCATCGAGGAACACAGGTGAGTCAGCTATGTATATATATATATATATCAGGGATGGGCAACTTCGGTCCTGGAGGGCCACTGTCCAACAGAGTTTAGCTTCAACCCTAATCAAACACACCTGAACAAGCTAATCAAGGTCTTTAGGATTACTAGAAAGTTACAGGCAGGTGATTCTTTCAGAAGTGGGATTTGGAGGTATGAGCATCTGTGTTGATGAAAACCGAGAAAATTGTGATTTGAGGAAGAGTGTTGGGAGGGAGAAACTGCAGGGCCGAAGATGAAAGCCGAGGCAGCCTTATGCTTGGGACGGTCCCTGGGGTTTGGGTAGCAACAGGGAAGGAAAAGGAAGGCTGGGGTGGAAAATATACCGACTGGGCCTGCAACTCTAGCAGAGGAAGCCTCACGCTAGGGAGAGGACATTCGTTGGTAGGGGCAGGTGATTCCATTGGGGGTGCGGTGGTGTGTGACTGAGCAAAGGGAGGAAGAGAGTGGGTCCCGGTCCAGGCTCTCTTACCCCTTTTCCACCAAAGCATTTTGAGAGCCGGTTCGGAGCCGGTGCCTGCGCGCGAACCAGTTCTTTGTGTTTCGACAGCCAAAGAACCAGTTCTCGGCTGGGAAAACTGGTTCCAAAGCGGCACCAACTCTTTGCTGGACTAGAACCGTTCTTTTATCACGTCATGCTTACGCTGGGGGCTGGGGTGGGTTTAGTTGTGTTCTAAACATCTTTTCTGACCATCGCAAAGCCAGGAGAAAAATTTGCAGAAACACAATGCGAGTCCGCCTTTGTGATTGTTATGCTTGTTTTTTTTTTTTTAAACATTATAAGCAAAGAAGAAAACAGTCACAATATAGAACAAGTTATTTTAATTGAGTCAAGCACAGATGTGCTACAGCTGTCAGTCACAGGGCAGATCCTAGTCTAGGAGACACACTTTACAATATAACTCATGGTACACTGCTTTCAAAATAATATAGTCTTGAGGTATAAATAGTGTTACGTTCATATGTGTTTTCTATTGCTGGTGTAAAAGGTGTAGTGTGCTTGTCTCTGTATTCTCTCTGTTTGTGGTTCCCCGTTGCTCCTCAGAAAAAAATAATTTTCGGTTTCTTTTCGGCCAAGTGCCTCCATATATATATAGATATAGATATATAAATCATACACTTACCTCGGGATCATTTGTGCTGAGAGGCTCCAGCATCATCTTGTTATGAGATTCCCATGTGTTATATGTATGGTCGTTGAGCTGAGCCATAGTTGATTTCCAGGGAAAAAATGTTACTGTTAAATGTGAGAAAACTCCCATATGCAAAACAAACTATATACAGAGGGTTACATCATTTATAATAGAAGCATTAATGTACTTGTGTTTGAGTGCTTAGACTTAACAGGGTATTCTTGGTTCAAATGCACAGTTTAATTATTGATCTATAACTACTGAGTCTTGCTTAGACTGATATCTGCAGTGTAGACAATCTGCGTTGTCATTAACTGAAGTAAAACTAAAATTACAAAAAAAATGAAATAAGTTAAATAGCAATATTTAAAACAAACAAAATAGAAAAATAAATGCTAATTCAGAATATGAATAAATATAAAACGGTTAGTTCCGGACCTTGATCCGTCAATAGCCGTGCTTTATTCATGATAAAACACGGCTGTGACCGCTTCACCCAACGGTTATCTATCACTGCGCAAAAGCAAAACTGCAGATCCTGTGTTGTTTTTATTTGATCTTTCATGCATTGGAACGTTGTTACTGTTTACGGTCAGGGGCTATTTTTTTTTTTTTTTTTATAGCGGAAGGAAGACTTTTAGTGATTTTACTTCATGGAAGTTGTACTAATAATTTTTTTTTTTACTTTAATATTTTTATTGTGTGGTAACCGTTTTATAAAAGCAATAAGGTACTCGAGGCAATTATATTCATATTTATTCCAAGGTTATTTTCGTAAACGAAAACTGAAACTATGACTAAGGCTAAGTTTAAAATGTTTACTGTTGGTCAAAAAAACATTTTTGTAAACTGAAATAAATTAGAAATTTATTAAATTAGAAATGAAAAGCTAAAAGTAAACGAAACCAATAATTATCTATTAATTACGTAAAAAAAGGATGTAAAAAGACTGTAAAAAAAAAAGATGGACGACGCCCCTTCGCTCTCTTCCATTGGTGAGAAGTGAAGCCGCTGTGGTGAAGTGTTGGGTCTCACTGAAGTGTTGAGTCCCAGCTAAGGATCCCATTAGTATGCCAGTAGTATGCTTGAATATGTTTAGAGAAGAAAGTCTGCGAAATTTTAAAATATTACTGTTATTGTGTCACAAAATGTAGTTTTAAGAGTTTTTTTTAGTCGAAAATGTAATTGTTTCAAGCTCAAATCTGTGACTTATTTATAAAGATAGCGCCTATTTAAAAATTGTATCTGATGGTTTCGGAGTTGTGAGATCCAAGCGATCACAAGGCACTCGGCGCTCATCTAACCCGCCTGGAACAGTGTTAACTCGACTAGTGCTTCTGACGTTTGCTGCGGGCTTTGTCGTCTAGTGGTTAAACTGGCAGGCTCAAACTGAGCTTTTTGACTCTCTTCTCCCTTGACTTTATGCCTCCATGTCCACCCGATTGCCTCATGGACAATAAAAGATTGCCAACGAGCTTCTCTTTTTGTCTATACGGTCATTTCTGAGTGGTTATGATGTAATCGTTAGCCTATTTTTTACAAAAACTGCTTTTAATGGGGCCATAATATTAGATACAAAGTAATGGAGCCTTTTATACATTGTCGTGTTGGAGTCTTTGAATGCCTCAGATGTAAAGTTTTTCGCTGTCAAAGTACGCCAAAATGAATAGGAGTCAATGGAACGCTAACAGCAGGTAATGGTCTGCTACAATGGCGGACCCCAAGCGAAGCTTCAGTTTCCAGCTGATGGATTACCCCCTTGGTCCCGAAATGGTGCTGACATCTTGGGACTTGAGTCTGTGCAGTAGCGATCTCAGGACCAGACCTCAGGACCAGTGAGCAGGAAGTAAAGCCAATTTTGATGTCTGTTGATTGCAGTATGGCAAGAGGCTTGTTAAAATAAAGTAAATACACTCTCCTCAGCCCTCCGAAGATCCTGAAAAAAAGTCAGTTGGTGATTCAGTGACTACTTCACTCACAGAACCTGTCAATAACACCTTTTTTATAGCATCACATAACTAACAAACTTTAAAACAGACACTTTTGAACTTACATTAGCGTGATAAAAACGAAAGCAAAACACCTTTGGAAAAAAATATATTTGAAGTGTAATTTAATTGTTTAGTTGGTCCTACGTCCCGTTAAATAACACGGACCAGTCACGGGGGGTGGGAGATGACGCTTTGTCTTCACTTTTTACGGCTTGTGCGCCACGCTTGTTTGACCGTAGCACTTGAATCTTGCGTCTTTTGCAGCATCTCGCGCATGACAAAACGTTTTAAAAATGTGCCACTCAAGTTAAAATAAGTTCAACTTTTAAAAGACGAGTCTCGAGAACTTGCACTTGCGTGTATTTTTTTTTGTTTTTCAAAGCAAACCTGCTTTCTGTGTGAACCACCCCTAAGAAACAGAAATGGTCAAATAAGAATTTCCATCATTTCTAGACCATATGCAAATACAGCTCAGGGGCGTTGTTAGAACAATTTTACTGGGCACGTGGCCCAGTATTAATCTGCTGTGCCCCAGTAAATCTGAAGTTTGAGTTGAACTATTTTTTTTTTCGTCAGTGTATTTAATAGAAATTATATTTCAGGGTAATAGAAATCATCTATTTGCAATGCAGTAATAAAACAATCAACCCTTGTAAAAGCAACGCAGTTTAACCGAAAACAAGCTGACCCGCACGACAGAATGACAATAACAATAACAAATTTAGTGAAAGCCTATTTTGGAGATTTGCAATTTAGAATTCAGAATTCAACTCCAGAATTCAGCACTACATGGCAATGCTTAGAGGTCGGAATAATGGCAGGATGCACCATTTCTCCACTGGCTTTTACCATGGCAATGCAAGTAATCATTAGGGCCATTAAGATGGGTAGTAGGAGGAGAGCGTTTGGCTTCTGGGATGCGACTACCACCAATCAGAGCATACATGGATGACAGGACAAACATCAGTTATTAGACAGCACTAATCAGTTATTGGGTAAGTAAGTTAACCGATAATTCTGAATGAGCACGAATGCAATTTAAGCCCTCTAAATCAAGGAGTATTTCAATAGTTAAAGGAAAGGTAGTAGATAAAACATTCTTCATTAATGGTGAGGCAATACCAACAGTTTCTGAGAAGCCAGTGAAGAGTCTTGGGAGATGGTACGATGGGGATCTAAAGGACACAGTTCGAGTGGGAGAAGTTAGATGACTTCAGTGTAAGGGTTGAAGAGCATAAACAGCTGTGCTCTACCAGGAAAACTAAAACTCTGGTGCTTTCAGTTTGGTCTTCTGCCAAGGTTGCCGTGACCACTGACTGTGTACGAGGTTTCTTTGACAACAGTGGATAAGCTGGAAGTGTTAATAAGTTCATACATCAGGGAGTTAGTTAGGAGTTCCACGTTGCCTCAGCAGACTGGGACTTTATAGTAAAGGAATATTGCAGCTGCCAGTCTCTACTTTAACCGAGTTTAAGTGTGCCAAGGTCAGACTGGAAATGACCTTAGTAGAGTCACATGACAAATGTGTAAGGGAGGCACCTGTGTTAAAAACTGGTAGAAAGTGGTCAGCAAAGAAATCTGTGGTAGAGGCAAAGGCTACCCTTCAAAATTGTTGATATCGTGGGACAGGTACAGCACTGAAGAGGGGGTTTTGGGCTCAGTTTAGCTCCTCCTAAATGGCACAAGGCAGGCCCAGCTCAAAGGAGGAAGCTAGTAGTCAACAAGGTGTGAAAGCAGGAGGAGAGGATGAGGTGTATAAAGGCCATTTCCCAAGCCAAGCAGGAAGAATGGATGAGATGGGAGAGTGTGGAACAATGCAAGATGGGCTGGCAAGACCTTTGGTCAAGTGAAGAGTATAGGATCAGTTTCCTTATCAGCTCAATATATGATGTTCTCCCATCACCACAGAACCTAAACCTCTGGGTAGGAGAGGATCCCTCTTGTCCTTTGTGTTCATCACCTGCCACATTAAGGCACATTTTGAAAGAATGTAAGGTGGCTCTTAGCCAAGGTCGGTTTACTTGGCGTCATGACCAGGTACTGCGATGTTTGGCTTTAGCATTGGAAGGCAAGCGTAACATGACCAATAAGTTGCCACCTGTTGCCACCACATAACACAAACAGATGACAATATTCCTCCGCCCAGGCGAGCAACCACCAAGAAAAGGTATTAAAACCAATTCTCGCCCAGGACAACGGGAAAATGCTAGTCTTTTCCAGTTGTCCTTAAAAATACCATGGTAAACCGATAATAAGATTAAGGTTCGCATTTAATATTTCTCTAATATGGCCAAATCATTCACAAAATCATACATAAAAGAATGCGCATGCTCAGACCTAAATCGTCTATACCAATAAGATTGCGATATTATAAACCAATTAAACTGGGGGTGGCTAAAAGTGTCGCCCTGCCCCATCGTCCAGACTGCACTCTGAGGTACTACAAGCTGCATGACAAGGCTGCCACAAATCATGTCGCAAGCTCGCAACTGAGTGGGCGTGTCTCAAAGTGGGTGTTGTAAACTCAGCTCTTAAAAAATAGTCTGCAATAGGAGTGCCAATGTAATGTAATAAATTTTTTCTTTTCGAACCTCAGTTTTCAGAGTTTCAAAAAAATGTTCACCTTTTCGTACACCAGTTTTCAGATCACCATTTACAAGGTTTCAAATATGAAAAACAAACTATACACTGGGAGAACAGTGACAAATTCGAAACTCTGAAAAAGTTCTTGCACAACACCGTAAAAAATTTTTTTTTATTATTGCACAACACCGTGTTGCACATCTGAAGAAGGAAACCTCAAAAACCAAATTATGTTTGATTTTTTTACATTTTGCAAGCTAGCAAATCTTATTTTCGTAAGATTTTAAGTTTTCGAACACTTCAACCTTTCAGAACTTTATTTTCAGTTTAGAATCATGTCAGGATATTAATCCCTTACATATTCACCTTGCGTTACCTTTGCACCACCCTGTTTGAACTTGCCTTTGATTCTTATCTGTGGATTATCCTTTTTTTTAAGTAATCTTTTGTCTTCCCTGTTCCCTGTTGTACCTGCCTGTACCTGCATCAGAAAATTACTTGCTATTGGTTAGGTTACTTTATTGGTACCTGTAGTAGGTAAACAAGTTTTACAGTCATCTAGAGAGGCAGGACATCCTTAAAATTTGCTGACCACAACATTGCATGCAACATACAAAACATTAAAACCTATAAAAATGATTTTACCGTTTGTTTAACAGAGTGATTGCCACTGGTACAAAACTGTTTTTAAATCTTGTGGTTTTTTAGCCTCTCTCCAAAGGGGAGATACTGGAATTCCCTATTCAGAGGATGTAGGCGATCAGCTATCTACATATATATATTTGAAAAGCCTCTAAATGCCATTTGAAATTTTCTTCTTTAATGATGATTTTTGTCAAACTTGTATATTTAAGTTCATTAATTTCACTTAAATAACAATTAATAGGTAATCTTCATTGCCATTTAAGTGAAATCACTGAACTTACAAGCTTGATAAAAATGATCATTCTAGAAGAAAATTTCAAATGGCACTTAGAGGCTTTTGCATCTGAACTCTTCATTTAAAAATATGTATTTTTTGTTTTTCAGACCAGTTTTTATAGAAGAAAAACTGAAATCTGAGTGACAAGCGAAGACGAGAGTAAGTATGGTTTAATCTCATATGACCTCTGTTATAGAGATTTTTGAATCAGGCCTAATGAAAGCAGTCTGTCTTGGTCGAAAAATGTTAGCAATGTGTCCATTTCAGGTGTATAATTTGTGTAGCCTTTGAGTCATTCATGTAAAAATCTGTTTATTTCATTGATTTTTGGTAAAGTTGCAAAGCACTTGTCCTAGTTGTCCTGGCATACAATATTTTGCACAATATTTTGTTCCAATCTGGTTTTAGATTACTACATAGCACCGAGTCAGCTCTGTTGAGGGTTACAAATGATATCCTGCTTACTCTGGATTAAGGCTCTTGTGTTATTCTGGTTTTACTGGACCTGAGTGCTGCATTTGATACCATTGACTACAACATTCTTCTTGAACGGATTGAATGTATGGTAGGTATCAAGGGCACCATATTATTGTAAAATGGTTTGCTTCCTACCTCAAAAAGAGGACTTTTTCTGTAAATTTAGGAAATTGTTTCTCGTCATCTGCGCCTGTTTAGTTTGGTGTGCCCCAGGGATCTGTTTTGGGACCTTTATTGTTTTCCCTCCCTTTATATGCTCCCCTTGGCCCCCATTTTTCCAAAGTACAACATCTCATATCATTGTTATGCAGACGATTCTCAGCTTTACCTTCCAGTAAGGCTCGACGCCACTGCTTTATTCCATGTGTTATTGGAATGTGTAGATGATATCAAGAGGTGGATGACAAATAATTTTCTGCAGCTAAATGAGGTTAAAACCATCTTTCACGCAAAGATTTAGAAGTCGCAATTCATGCATTTATAACATCTCGATTAGACTATTGCAATTCTATTTACTGTGGCCTTCCTCAATCTTCTTTATCTAGATTACATATTGTTCAAAATGCAGCTGCAAGACTGTTGACTGGGTCTAGAGAAAGGGATCATATTTCTCCTGTTTTGGCATCCCTTCACTCGCTTCCCATTAAGTTTAGAGTTGATTTTAAGATCCTGATGTTTGTTTATAAGGCGTTGTCTGACTTTGCAGTGTGCACCAAGGTACATGTGATCTTATTGTGCCATACTGTCCTGCTAGGGCACTTAGATCTTCAAGTCACTTGCTTTTAAATGTATCACGATGTCGCTACAAATCAAAGGGTGATCGGCTGGACCCAAGCTTTGGAATGCTCTCCCGTATCATGTGAGGTCTGCTCCATCATTGGAAATTTTTAAATCTACTTTGAAAACAGATTTTTTTTATTTAGCTTTTGGAAACCTGTAATTTGTTGTTTGTTGTCTTTATTTTATTTTATTTTTTATAGTGTAGTCCTGCTATCCACTGTGTACAGCACTTTGGAACAATTGTTATTGTGTTAAAAATGCTTTATAAATAAAGGTTGTTGTTGTTCTGCACATGTTTTTCCATAATTTATATTTTTTCAGAAAATTGCATTGTGATGGTTATTTATTTAGTTAGCTATGTAATATTCATAGTGTATTTTTCATTAATACAGGTATAACTGAAATCAAAAAAATTTATAAATATAGCTCTGTCATAGCATTTCACTGATCTTTGTTATAGTAAGTTTTGTTCAAGAGATTATATATGCTGCTGTACATTTTAATGTACTCTTATGTATTTATTTTGCAATGTACACAAGATACAAAAAGTTTATCTTCTATATTAAAAAGTTTTTGATTTCAACGTCTGTGTATGTCTTAACATTTCGATTTAATTATTTGTGCATTTTTAATATACCATTTTGAATACTGAATAAAACAGTTTACTAATCTGTTAATGTAATGCTAATACATTTTAATGAGATGAAATGCTATTTAAATATAGCCTACATTAAAATGAAGCTTCACATGTAGCCTAATCGTTTAAGAAAAAAAAATAAGTATATTTTAAATGATCTGTAAAGAAATACACTTAAATGTACTTGGAAGTGCTTCCTTTTTTGCAATTGGCGACAATAAAGTTTCAGGAAACAGTCGAGACTAGCTAGTCTACTTGATTTCTTCCCGTTCAAAGATGCATAGCTATTCAGTAAGTTAAGCTGCGACTTGTCCGAGTTTTGTGTGATTGTGAAATAAATCACAATTTCACAACAATGTGAAAAGTTTGGCGCTCGCGCATTAAAATCCACTCAAATGTTACAAAATTGTTATGAAAATAATGTGACAGAAACTGTCTCAAAAGAACTGTAAAGAAGAGAGGAATGTCGTGTCTGAAAAGCTGTGTCCTTGCCCTGCCCTCAGCGCGATGCCACTGTCTGACAGGTCCTGAAAAATTGAGCTAGTTGATATGGTGCTCCCAAATGTGTGGAAACATTTAGTTTAGCTACTTACATCTTATCTCGCAGACTTGCACTTTATGACCGTGGCACTAATGATGCGTCGAGTTGAGCTGGAAGTCGTGCTCAGCAGCTTCTGTCAACATAAGCCCGTTCTGGGTGATGCATCCACACCCCCTCCATCCCCCGGCGGTACTGGGCAGGGCCGCAATAATGCACGAGCTTACCTGGGCTGGGAGGAGGGCCCACGGTGATGACGCAAAAAAGTATAGCCTAACCACATTTTATAAAGAGTAAACTATTCCTTTAAAATTATGCTGTATTATTAAATGCAAGTGACTTATTCCAGAATTTCAAGAAAAGAATGAAAACTAAAAATCCAGTAAAAAAAAAAAAATACCTAATGGTTTTTGAGTCTGGTTTTGTATGTGACTAGAGTAGGCTATAGCACATCTGATCTTCTCTGGAATCTGGGTCCAGCTGTGGCTGGCATAATAATGGCTATAAAAGCAGACTCATTGGGCTCATTATTTGGCTTATTGGGAGCATGCACAGGTTGAACAGGAGTGGCGCAAGAATTGAGCCTTGAGGGACTCCACATGCCATGGATGTCCACTCAGACTTATGGTCTCCTATACTCACATAATAACCTCTCCCTTCAGAATGACCTGAACCATTTTAGGACTGACCCAGAAACCCCCACAGTTTTCCAGTCTGTCAAGAAGTACTGGAAATCTGGCTTGTGGGGATTGGTAGACTCTCTACAGTAGCAAAAAGAGTGTGCGTGTGTTGTTTAAGTTGCTGTTTCTAATATTCGAGAAGAAAGTCTGTCTAGCTTTGCCTAAAGCATGGATGCTGTCTTTGTAGATTTTATAATAGACTAAAGTTTTGTCTTCTGCCACAAGGCCTCTGCTCTTCTGCATTCTTTTCATATTTTGCACTGCTGTTGAGTTTCTCCAAGGTGCTTTTTGTCTGCCACTCTTCTTCCTGAGTTTCACTGGAAAAATATTATCAATTACACTTTTAACTTTTGAGTTAAAAAAAACAAGAAAAAAATCACCAGTCAGCAGATATGCTTGGTGTTAAAGATATAGCCTTCATAAATAGTATACTAGTCACTAGTATACTATTTATGAAGGCTATATCTTTAACACCAAGCATATCTGCTGACTGGTGATTTTTTTCTTGTTTTTTTAAAGCACTAGTAACTAGTGTTCTCATTCAAGCATCTCTTCTTGACAGACACAGATCTAGATTCAATGGCAGGAGAGATTAGTATATCAAAGATGGCAGGAGAGATCAGTATATCAAAGAACCCTTACTGATAAGTAAATCTAAAGTGTGTCCACGATTGTGTGTGGGACCATGTACATGCTGAGTCAGATCAAAAGTTAAAAACAGTTTTGATTTCTTTTGCCATATTGGTTTCTGCATTATCTATGTGAATGTTAAAATCTCCAGCAGTCAAACTCTGAGGAAATTGTTGATAACAGTTTTTTAAAGTTGGAGGCCTATAAATAATGACAAGTAAATGCGTAGAGCACCTTTTAACACAATACCCAGATATTCGAAAGATGGGTAATCCCCAAATGATATTTGCTTACATTGATTAATTATGCAGGGGAGGGTTAAAATAAAATACCTTTTTGTCAGTATTAGACTACGGTGATATAATATATATGCATGTGTCTTTAAATACTCTGAAAAAATTAGATGTTGTTTATCATGCTGCATTACGATTTTCAAGTGTGCGTACACATCATTGTAACTTATATAAATTGACAAACTGGACTTCACTGAACTTGAAGAGGAAATATCATATGTTAATCTTTATTTTAAAAGCTTTACGGGGTAAATTACCATTGTATATATCTAGTTTATTGACTTGTACTAGTAATTATAATACTGGCTCAACAGCTAAACTTCCACATTTCCATACAGAGTTAGGCAGATCAGCCTTTTCTAATTATGCTCCTTATGTATGGAATGAACTACAGGGTATATCAATTATGAAATGTCATCTTTAGCTTCATTTAAAACCCTTTTAAAGTCTGTTTTTATTGAACGGTGTAAATGTTTTAACAGTTGATTAGGATTAATTTTGCCTTTCAGATATGTGATATCTTTTTTTCCGTTTTTTTTATTTTTTTATTTACGTTGTGTCTTATTACTTTGTATTCTTGTTTGTGCTGCCTATCTTGACCAGGACTCCCTGGTAGAAGAGATATTGTATCTCAATGGGACCTTCCTGGTAAAATAAAATAAATAATAAAATAAATGATAATTCTCAGAAGCCTTTTGCTCTCTCGAAGGGTTGCCCAGACTTTCTGGCACTCACCTTACAGAAGAAAGAATGTAAAAAAAAAAAAAAAAAAAAAAAAAAAAAAATGTTCAATCATTTACAACAAAAAATGAAAGGTGTACTACCTTTACTAAAAAAAAAAAATTTTAATTTTTTTTTTTACATTCTTTTTTCTTGATCTTCATTATTTTATGTGCAGGGGAAAACAACTAAAGTACACCTGTTCTCAGCCACAGTCTTACTTTAGGTGTGTTTGGCTTCTCATAGTTTTGTAGTATTCTCTAGAAGGACCCAGGAGGGGCAGGTGGGTGAAGCCGGCAGCCTGAGGGGGAACTTGAGTGGGACCAGCAGAACAGGAAACTCAAAGTTGGACCGTCCAAACAGGCAGACCAGACTCAAGCACGACAGGAATCGGGGTGAAAAATGTCTGGCCAGCCTTCAGTATGGGAACAAGGGTCATGGTGGAACAGTTCAGGGTTTAAGTTCCAGGGTTGCAGAGCCATGCACATAGCTATACAGAGCGCGAGAAGGCTACTGAATTGAGCTCTTTTGAGTCCGATTGGACAAATACACACAACATTATGTCTATGACCGTTTTGGAGAGTACTCACGTAAACAGTCAGTTATGGCTTTACATATGGGATGTACATCAGTGCAATTGGATCCATACATTCGTTCAGTCTAAAAGTGACAGCTGTGCAATAAAGTAAATTAAGGGTCATCTGTGTTCTTTAAGTTGCTGCCCACTATGAAATTACTCTGCCTTCAATCTCATTAAATTATTTCTGATTTAGCCTTGTGCATCACGTCTTTATCAAAAGGTATTATACCTAACTTGTAACGGTTTGTATATTCAGCAAAAACATACTTTTCTTTATGCACATGATTTGTCTCATTCTGAATTTGTATTGACTTACACATGTAAACTTATTAAGGTAAATAAATAGTTATGGTAAATTTTATACTTAACCATCATGGCAAAGGTCCAGTCACATGTTCACATTTACAATAGACTTTATTTGCATTGGATATCCAAATTTATTGTGCCAGTTGGATATTTATTCTCTGTTAATCGGTTTTAGTAGACAGTCACAATTTTAGATTACGCAGGTTAATCCAGAGAAATAAGCAAATATCAATCAAAAGATATCAAAAGACAAACAGGTCATTTGAATGATTAATTTAAAAGGGAAGTCATCACATTAAGGTGTATGATGATCGTGTTGTTATCCAAGTCTTGGCCCTTCAAATCAAAAGAAATCTTTATTTCGGGAAGACCAATTATAACTCTGGCAACCCAGGCATTGGGAACTTTCCAGAAAAGTCTTCAACTTCCTTTCGGATTTCATTTATTTTCAATTGGTACTTCTCATTTTGTGCCAGTTCCTCTTTAAACTCCTTCAGAGTTGCTTTAGGATTCATGTTTCTTTGGATCTCCAATGTCAACTCAATGCCTAAGAGCAGATACACAATCAATGTCTGATGTAGGTTAAAAGTTCGTACCATATGCTATAATATTATATTATTGCTTAAAACAAACTCACCCTGGTGAATAAACTCAGCCACTTTACGGAAATCGTCCTCCAATAATTCACGAGATGTGAGAGCGGGAGCTCCTAAACGAAGGCCGCTTGGGCGCAACGCACTTTTATCACCTTCAAAATGGAGTTTGGGAGAGGAAAAACTGATCAGATTGTTGTAGTAAAATATCCAAAAACATGTCCAAAAAGACTGTAAAAGATTGGGTCAATTGGACAAGTATTATAAATGGAGCATGTTTAAGGCACCTGGGCAGGTGTTCTTGTTGCAGGCAATGGCACAAGCCTCCAGCACTTTCTCTGCTCTTCCTCCATCAGTTCCATTCGAACGTAAATCAACCAAGATGAGATGATTATCTGAGCCGCCTAAATTTAAAATGAAAGATAAAGGGAACAAAGTTGCCAATAGGCTTTATGCACAACTTACTTCCGCATTCTGTAAAACAGATCGCATCGCATCGCTTCTGGTCCAGGTCTTTTGTATGTGCTTCATGAAATTTTTTGCGGTTTTACTCAAGATAACTTAAAAGGAGCGAGCAAAGATTAGCATAACCAATATCCCTCACATGTTCAGATTGATATTTAAACGTTTTATATTTTTCTTCTTCACAGTAACGTTTAGATATTTCAATGGAATTAAATGTCAATAACAAAGTGAACTATTTAGGTTAGCTGATTACCTTAAAAATCCATAGATATCGTAGTCAGTTCTCACGGCCGTTAACACTTTTTCTCTGACAAGCGGATGCGATGAGACCCGTTTTCCGGTTTGGTCACTTGACGCACGGCATGAAGCCTATTGATGTTCAATCAACCAATGGTTTCATTTAGCTATAATTTATATCTAAATCCTTAAGCGTAGTTCACTTTTAAAACAACTTTTGCTGATAATTTACTCACCCACATGTCATCCAAGATATCCATGTCTTTCTTCTTCAGTCGAAAAGAAATTAAGGTTTTTGATGAAAACATTCCAGGATTTTCTCCATAGGGCTTTAAACGACACCAGACGATGAATAAGAGTCTTATCAAATGATCGCTCATTTAAAAAAAAAAAAAAGTTTAAGTTTTATAAGCTCAAATGGTCGCCTTGCTCTGTTCTGTGGTGCACGCGTGTGACTCTCCTGTTCGAACTCGTTCATCAAAATGAACAAATTAAAAAAAATTCCAGAGTCAATTCGTTAATTTCGTTCGTTTGAATGAACCAAATGACACGAAAAAAGATTCATTCATTTTGATGAAAGAGTTATTTTGACGAAATTTGTTATTATTTTTTTTTTTTAAATGAGTGATCGTTTCGCTTGATAAGACCCTTATTCATCGTCTGGAATCGTTTAAAGCCCTT